CAGGTGAAGTTGGTCAGACTGCGGAGAAGTTGTATGGAATTGCTACAACATATGCCATTGCATCCATGTGCTGGTGGCTCGTGTACCGGTACTTCAAGTCTGTCGTCTGTCTTTCTACTCCGTGGTTCCTATACGGTCTTGCATTCCTTTTAATTGGATCTGCCCACTGGCAAAGTGATTCCTTCAGCCGGGGATGGATCCAGAATGTCGGCACCGGTTTCTACGCCGCAGCCTCCGCCAGTGGATCCATCTTCTTCGCTTCCAACTTCGGTGATGAAGGAGGTGCTCCAGTTGAAACCTGGATTTTCCGCGCCTGTCTTATCCAAGGTATCCAGCAGGTCTACGTTATTGCCCTCTGGTACTGGGGTTCCACCATGACCAAGGCTTCTTCGGAGGGCCTCTTGAGCGCTGACTCTGGCATTTCTAATACCTGGAAAATGAGGTAAATTCCCCTGCACACTTATCTCCTGACTTATTTACTGACCTTATTTAGTGCGATCTGTTACCCCATCGCCGTCTTCCTGTGTATTGTCGGTGCTCTGTTGGCTACGGGTCTTCCCAACTACTACCGCCAGAAGCCAGGCAAGGTGCCATCCTTCTACAAGTCCCTTTTCCGCAGAAAGATCGTCGCCTGGAACTTTGTCGCAGTCATCCTGCAGAACTTCTTCCTCAGTGCACCATACGGTCGAAACTGGAGCTGTAAGTTCTGATACCCCATCCCAAATACTATATACCGATCAATATTAACACCCCCCTCCAGTCCTATGGACCTCCAAGCACACCCACGCATGGCAGATCGTCCTCCTCTGCGTCGTCTTCTTCGGCTTCGTCTGGTGCATCTTCCTCTTCATTGTCAGCAGATTCTCCAAGAAGCACAGTTGGTTCCTTCCCGTCTTCGCCTGTGGCCTGGGCGCACCCCGCTTCATCCAAATCTGGTGGGCCATCTCCGGCATCGGGTACTACCTGCCCTGGGCTGGAAGCTACACTTCCGGTGCGCTCGTCTCTCGCAGTCTCTGGCTGTGGCTAGGCGTGTTGGATTCCATCCAAGGTCTTGGATTCGGTATCATCCTTCTGCAGACTCTTACTCGAGTCCACATGTGTTTCGCTCTCATTGCATCTCAGGTGCTGGGTTCCATTGCGACTATCTGTGCCCGAGCCTTCGGCCCAAATAATGTGGGCCCCGGCCCAATTTCTCCTGACATGACGAAGGGCGCCCATGCCTTGGCTAATGCCTGGTTCTGGGTGGCTTTGTTCTGTCAATTGTTGATTTGGTATGTTGATCTTTGCTTGTTTCGTTCATTGGAATTATTTCTAACATGTCTACAGTGCTGGATTCTTGCTGTTCTTCCGTAAGGAACAACTCGCCAAACCTTAAGCTCCCTTCCCTTCCGGAGCATTTCTGTTTCTTGTCATAAAACGGCTACGGCCATCACGACGAACATGAATGATCAAATTAATCTCTTCTGCATATCTGAAGCATGTTGTCTCTGTGATCTATCTTTTTTCCTTCTCATGTATCCTAATGTTAATAATATTATTGTACTGAGTGCTTGCTCGGTTGAATATATCAAGTCCTCATAGTAATGATATAGAGTAGAATCGTGCGCGGAGCTTTAGCAACGCTACTTTTTCTTTACGTCGGGCAATCACATCAACTTCTTTCAAAGAGCCGAAGATCATCCAGGACCCAAAGTAATCAACTAGACCAGTTCGTGTTTTCTATCATCCATGACAGATCTCAGGGGGTAGGAATGGTGGATGCCAGAAATTTTTGTGGTCCAAGATCTCCGATATTGGGACTGTGGAACCAGAGCGAATAACATGTAAGGCATGGCATAGTTATGACCCACACGTAACTCAGGGGGGTGGCGGCAGCGTTCTATAGTGGCCTGCATATCCCGCATATGCTAAGGGCTGTATTGGACCTGATGGTAAAAGCTTCATGTAGTCAATTATCTGCTCAACTTATATCAACTGCCCGGGTGGTCTAGTGGTATGATTCGCGTTTAGGGAGTAACCCTGAACATTACTTTAATACGCGAGGTCCCCGGTTCAATCCCGGGCTCGGGCCAGTCTTTTCTTTTTTTGCTGTGTCGGCCACCTCGAGGACTATAATCATTTCTACGAGGTCAAGCCGAGGCTCGTCCTACCATTATGCTTAATTCGCGGCTAGCGCTTACGTCCGCGTGACTTTGCCACCGCACAAATAACCATGAAGACGCTAAGATCACGTGCACCACCCGCAAAAAGAGGCTGACGTGAAAAACGACAACAACAAATATACATACACCGAAAAAGTCTCTGAAAAAAAAAAAATTTTCAATGTTTACATCCTTAATATTATATTAAGGCCAAATATCTCAATGTTTACATCCTTAATATTATATTGAGGCCAAATATCTCAAGTATGTATCATACTGTCTCTTCCCCACAAAGTAACGGTCAAGTCGATCGGCAACACTATATTTCAAGGTGTTGGTGTGAGCAAATATCAGAAGTGACTAAAACATACTCTGTTCGTGTTGACCCACCACGAAGAAGGAAGATTGATCATTGTAAGACACTTCATAGGGACCGCATTTTCCCAGTCGGCCTCATAGTACTCTCCATCCTGTGATCCGGTGGTCTTTTTCCATGCTACGGGTGATAGTGCTTTTGAAGGCCGCGCCTCCCATCAAATCAACCTATGTAGCTGTGCACTTAGGGGGCACACTTAGGACGAGGCCCAGGGGTGGACGGGGGGTGGCAGAAACCGGGTTAATCTTGACTGGCTTCAAGCCCCGGGGTGCGGGTGCGTTAGACGGGGGACTGCTGCGAGGGGGTTCCCTGATCCCCACCCCAAGCCCACCAGTACCCAACCACTCGCTGTAGACGGAGCCCGGGTCCCCTGGTCAGCGGGGCAAAATTAATTCCTCAAGCTTCCCCTAGACAACTGGGTAGCTGATTTTGTTGAAACTATGCGCTTGTCGTTGTACAGTGTTTAGTGATAACGCGTGCTAAATTGGATTGTGTACTCCGTAGTGGCTAGATGTGCTGCTTATATGAGTTAAATCTTTTTATATTTTATATTTCTTGTGAGCTGACAATGCTTACCAAATCCAGTTCAATACTGAAGACGTTTAACGATGTTGGTTACCAGAAAGCTGGATGGAGTATTAGAAAGAGAAATAAGTAACCGGGAATAATGCTTTGCATGTTTTGACCTTCCTTCGACGGCGTTGCAATGCAAGGATTGCCTGCGCAGTGATGAGTTTCCCAAATTCTGGAGATATAGATACAAATAAGAATGAATATATTTTATTTTAGTCAATCATAGAATTTGCCTTTGTAGAAGTAACTAGATAGTTTTGTAATTTGGGTTGTGACCCAAACAGGGCAGCAACCAACCCTCAGCATACAAATGCATAAGATATTTATGCCCGTGTGTGAGCGACAGCATATATGCACGCGTAAGGTAGAATGGTGAAAATTAGGAAACCGGACATACGGCATTCGGAAAGAGTGAGCGGGGTTAAATTACGTTCTCCTCTCCTTAAACAAGTACGCTGACTGGGTCTTGGACTGAGAGGGTTGTTGAAGGCCATAAATTATAACCAAGTAAATCCGCCCCCGAAACGCAGATCCATGCATCATTTCTTCATCTACATTCGCCTGGACCATTTACTGTTACGTCATATGACTATCAGAGTTGTCCATGGTATGTAAATTGTTATGCTAGGTAGCCTACTATGGAATATCTACATATAAGGGTAGAATTTTCTCATTGAAGCATCCCCGGCACAGGAGCAGTAGATCTATAGTTGCGTTATACAAGCACATTAACAATTCATCATAATTGATTTCTCAGACAAATTGGCCAGTAAGGATATCCAACCTCTCTATCGGTTGTAACAGAAAGATATCCCCGACTATCTCCGTTCTCTCGTACGGCCATAAGGTGCGGTGATATTATAGCCAAACCTAGTTTTCTGAAGGATCTGCAGGTCTCGGAGAATTGTCAAGCCCAATCTACATTAGTAGAAATGCTGTCTTTTTGTTAATTGCTATAGGCACTGATTGAAAGAATCCCAGTGACAATAGACACGTAAAACGAGTGCAATAACTGACCGTTTAATCCCAAGGTTGACAATTCAACGTCCATCCACTTTTTTTGCCCCCACACTCGGGGCGAGATTGTGATTGGTGATGCAGGAGAGGCAGAAACGGCTCGAAGTGGTCGTTGCCTGTCAACAGGGTTTTCCAAATGCTATCAGTTAGAGTGCATATGTGATATGGCCGTAGTATGTATGTAGTCAGAGCTCATCTTGGCTTACTGTATTCATGCAGGGGCTGGTTCCGTTTGAGACAAGAACACATTCATCAACATTTGCCTTTTCTTTTCTTTTCTTTTCTTTTTTTCATTCCCCTTGGAAGAGCATATTTATCTTCTTTCTACGTAGATATAGATATTGTTACGCCGAATCACGCCTTAAGCCCTGAATATGTTTCTATTTAAGCGCCCTCCATGTGCGCCTCGGCCCGCCATTTCGGCTCCTGGCGGAAGAGCCGGCGGGTGGGTCATCCTGTGGACCCCACTAGTGCTGTACCCCCTCGTCTCTATGCCGGGGCTGTGCTTCAACAATTCCAGAGATTCCAAACGAATTCGTCTGCCTTCTCTTCCCAAACCTTTATTTCTCTTTAATGTCTTGCGTTTCGTGTCTTCATTTTTGAATGAGGACAAGGATGCCATTCTTGTTGACTAAGATATTGTGACCTTGGGACTTGGAAGACAATATTTCTTCCGTTGTCAGCTAATGACCTCATATCCACTTAGCCAGCATAATGTTGCATCTTCGGTTATTAGTTCGTCCATAATTTGTGCACATACATCATCAGGCTGGGGGCCAGGAATGGGGGCCAAAAGGGAGCCAGGCTAGGGTATAAAAGGCAACGTCGTCTCCTGAGAATATGTGGTATCATACTTCTCTAGGACAACTTACTTCCTATCAAAACTATTTATCATGCGTTTCACTCCTGTTTTCCTGATGCTCGCGAGCGCCATTGGCGCCCTCGCCGCACCCGCCGCTGAGCCCGTGGAACTCGAGGCGAGAGACGAGGGCATCACTATTAAGATTTGCTCCAGCATCAACATGGGCGGGAACTGCATTTCCCCTGTGATTTACATCCAACATGACTGCCGTTCGTGGCCACACCTACCATAACCCAATCCCACCCTTCTCCCTCTTTCAGCCTTTTAAACCCGCATGTCTGCCATCATTATAGCTAATTCATTGATTGCGAACAGACAACTTGAACGGTAGTCCCGTCATGGACAATGTCAAATCCGTTCACATTCCTAACGGCTACCGCTGTCGCTTCTGGCAGTATGTTCTCGGCTTGTGTTTGGGGAGATCCCGGCTAACTTCTGCTTTTTTTGTAGATCAACCACATGCAATGGCGGTGGTACCGGTGATATCCAAGCCGGTGGTAGCAACGACATCACCGCGGGCTCGTTGAGCTCTGTCAAGTGTTACAAGAACTGAGCTGGGTATCTCAAAAGGGGAAAGGCTCGGCGATTGTTGGGTTTAATACTCTTTGCTGAGATGGAGGCTTGGTAGACAGATGATTCAGATGGGTGGCTGGGTTGCCAGGCTAGTAGCTCCGGATATTTGTGGATAACTTGAGAGCTTCTATCTTCCTCTAATCAATAACTTTCTTCCACTCCACGGGGCTTGCAAACTGACACATTCATAATTATCCTTATAAATTGGCCCTATTCTCTTGAATTATCTAAAAAGGCAGTGGGCATATCAGTTTTCAATATAGACGAAAGGAGTGTTTTTCCATGGAGAATACGTGCACTACCAATTACTGCTCCAATTCGACCACCGATAGAATAAAAAGAATTTAAATCATGTCAATTGAAACCAATTGAATGCAGTTCGAATTGAAATACCGAGCCTACGATGCAATGTGATGGACTTTGTATGTGGGAAAAAGTATAAAGGGCATCAAACTACATCTAGATAGAAGCGCCAATATTCTTGCATTGGGAATCACGGGTTAGGGTTAGCGTTGCAACCTCGATGGGTACGGAACAGAATGCCAAGGTGGAGATCACAAGGACATTGTATTAGTATTCGCTCTAATTAATAGGCATAGAAGCGTTGTTTATTTACTACTATTTATTTCCATGAGTATTCCTCTAGTGAGCCCTTCTGGCATATTGAAATTTTCAGAAACTCAGTCCATTCCACGGAGGTGAAAGAGGGACGAAAAGCTTTCCCTGACTGCCAATTCCAACGCCAAGGTCTGGACGGAGTCTTGAGAATAAGAGGCGTCAGCTGGCGTTGATTAGTTTTCCCGAGGTTATGTACGAGTATGGAGTATGCTCCTTGATTTAAAGCGGGGAATTATCCATCTCGGCCTATCACGATACATTCTCCTGTTCTATCCAAAAATCGAGGCAAAACTACGGAGTACTTCTGCCTGATGACGTCCGGCTTTAGTCCTACATGAGAATGAGACACGGGCAAATGACTATCCGAAGCTAAACAGTCAGTCCACTTGCTTCGTACTCGTATAATTACTACGTCATGTCGCTATGCGTCGATGGCTGTAGTCATTAAAACCCGGGGTTTTCGACCTGATGTTGCTCAATTCTGCGATATGATGATGATGATGATGATGATGATGATGATGATGATGATGATGATGATGATGATCTCATTAACCCGATGTAGCTCGCTATTACATACATGCTGTCAATTCTGCGATATCCCTATGACACAAAAAGGCATTGAAGTCCTTGACTCCCAGAGAGTACAGGATAGAGTGCTCGAGCAGGTCATTTGCACGTCAACCTCAACGTCTATAGACACGATACCCAAAAAGTAACTCACACCTTGGATACCTCCCTGGGCCCAAGCCACATCATCAACCTATCCTTCTCAACATTCCCCATGACCGCAGGCTCCAGCGTCAACCGGACTTCCCAGGGCGAAGACCGGCCCCTGTACCGGGCTGGCATAATCCACGCCTGGCCAGGGACACGATGTTCCGGCATATCAAAATCCCTCACTGGCCCCAATACCGGTCCAAAGTCAAGATGGTAAGTTGGGAAGCTACGCAGCGAGCTGACTATAAGGTCCCTGGGACGATTATTCGCAGCCCAGTTGTCACTCGCGGCACTGGCGGAGATGAGTTCCCGGATAGTCTCGTCGGTGACAGAGCCTAGAGCAGTGTGAACTAAACTTGCGAGCTCTGCAAGGAGTTTGATATCGTCGTGGTCGAGACGGGGTGTGATGTGAGTGTTATTGTTGGAACCGATCGCGGAAGAAATAACCGCTTCGAGAGGTGTGTATACGTCGTGGAGAATCACTGCGTTGCCAATGTATGATAGAGGTAGCTTTGGCCGTAGTTTCGACCGCGCTTCGGTGACTAACACGGCGCAGGACTTGGTTGGCATTGGCCTTGGCTCGGTTTTTATGATAGCTCGGATCGTGCACAGCCATATCACCGCAGTAAGGATGGTGTTGCTGGATATTTTGCTAGCATGGGGATTGGACTGGTTCTTCAGGATGGTAGCACATTCAGTCCTGAGTTTTGCTATCTTATCTGTATCGAGAACGAACTTTCGAGATACGGGTATAGAGGGTATCGAACTTGATGTGGGCTCGCATGGAGATAGAAGGTCCTCATTTTGAGGGCAACCTTTGATACTCAGAGTAGAGGCCGCTTCGAATATTTTTAGTCGACTTTCTTGTTCTTTCAGCGGATTTGTTCGTATGATTTCCGGGCCCGCATTTGGACTGCGACAAAGCGCTGCAAGCGCATCCATGACAACAGCGACCCCAATACCGTCTAGCGCCGTGTGGTGGAAGTTATAGCAGAGTATGATTCCGTCCGGCATGACATTGGCTTGGAATCTGAACACAGGACTTGGGTAGTCCTCTGCCAGTGCATAGGGAATCGGGATAATGTCCTCATTTAGAAAGATGTCCTGTGCCACAACGTGACGGGAATATCCGGAGAAGATGGGCTGTTCGTGGTACTTTATCCTGAATATGGGATATTGCAGTAGGAATTGCTTTGTTGGGGGTTGTATCTCGAAGACATTCTCCTTGCCTGGTACCCTGGTTGAGAAAGCGACGTTTCCTGTCAGAAACGTCAGACATTTGATGAGGCGTTCCACTCCATTCTCTAAAATGGGGACGGCTTTGGAGGGCTCGTCGAGAGAGAAAGTGAGAAACGCTGCCAGGTGAATTCGAGGCATAGAATGATCGAATGAGGTGGCCACATATGGCTCAAAAGTAGGAAGTTGCTCATCCGATTCGAATTCCATATTAAATTAACTTAGGATTAAAATACTATGATTACAAGCTATATAATTCTGGGAGATATCCAATATATACACGATCGGACTGCAGGATGATATAGAGTGCCGATCCGATCGAGATCGGCAATTACGGTAACACAGACGCTAACTAGGGCGAGAGGTCAAAGTGGAGGAGAAAGAATGTGATAATCTGTACCTGCGATGTTATCATATTGTTGGGATAGAGATCTAGAAGGCTATGAAGAATAGGAGGCTCTAGAAAATCTCCGTAGATGGATGTAGAGGAAAGGAACTATCTACTGTGCTAAGGACTTGCTGCGAGCAAACAGCAGAAATCACCTGTCCCAACATAGATGGATGGGGTTACTTTTAGCTTCTACGCCTTGATCGGCCTTCCACTAAAGATAGCGGTGTGCAATAAGACTCTTCGGCGTTTGGATTCCAATATAGCAAGCTGAGAACGAGCCGAAAATGAGCCGAAAATGAGCCGAGAACTGCCGTGTAATTGTTAATGAGATAGCTCATGCAGCTTTCAGTGTTGAGGAAAGTAGCATTGTATGAAATGTTATCGATCAAGTTCAACGATGCACTTTACCCTCAGTTCTCGTAAATTTCTAGAGCCCCACCAATTATATTTCCCTGAATTAAAAATTTCAACACAGAAGTCCTCAAACATAGACCCACAATAATCCCTAGGGATATTTCGGAGTTCAGCCGAGCCCATCTACGGAGTACAGTACTCTTCTCATTGTACAGCATCTCCCATTTACATATTTTGCATGGAGGGCTAGCAACGTCAAATTGACATGTTAGATGTCGACAAGAAGAAAAAGACGTAGAAAAAACACTGATTGCACCCTGGGACGGCCAGGCTTTCAACTCTTTGTGTGAAGGCGACAACCTCAGAAGAAACCATCTCGGTATGCTTTGCGAAATCATTGCCTTAATACGAACATTTTGGAAGCTCTAGCGCTGCCGACATTCAGTATCATAAAATACCTTCAGTATCGGAGTGATTTATTTTCATGTTTATGGCCTCCACAACCACTCCCTTTTTAGATATACTACCGTAGGTCATTGTCATAAACTTATAGCACAGATGGAAATGGTAATTTTAGCCACTTAAGAGGCACATAGAATACAGTCTTGATACAATGGGCGCTTGATTTTGCTTCGCCCCCGTATATATGTAGATATTCATGGATTTATTTACAACGCACGTGGTTGCCACAAACCCTACATCGCACCTGCTTTGTTTCAGATGTACTGATACCAATGCACCCGATGCAAAATAACTCTCTCTACAACTTCCTAGCCATACAGGAAGATAGCAAGACATCCATTGCAATCATGACAAACGGGGACTACGGGAAGCTCGCCATTGCCACAGCCGCCATTCTCGGTATCCTCACACTCGGGGCACTGATATACTTAGTGGTGTGGTATGTCGGACGAAGACTCCGCACCCTACGGCTTCGTCGCCAGCAGAGTCAGGGGAATGACCAATTTGATCAGTCTGCAGTGTCCCTAGCCGAAGACACAAGCAGGACTCTAGATGATTTCCTCATGAAGGATATCCAGCCCGAACGGAGCTCAATCATGTTCAGAAGAAGCCCAAGCGGATCTCCATCCGTCACCGTCATAATTGATGACACGGGTGATGCTGACCACTGCAAGTCTCTATCTCAGCCTTATCTCACAAAACAAGACACTGCACCTTCATCTGCAGATACCTACACTTCAATGCAGACCTCGACCCAAGAATCGGATCCTGATGACCTGCGGTCCGATCAGACTCAATGGAGCAGCTCGGGACAACGTTCGTCAAGCACAACTCCAAGGGCATCCACCTCGTCGTCCGCCATTCCAACATCGCGATCATCCCAGATTTGGACTACGACCTCCGATAGTACGCCATCGGACCAGGCCCAGAGGGGCAGCTCGGGCCAGCACTCGTTAACCTCAACGCCGAGAGCATCTATCTCGTCGTCTGTCATCCCGACGGCGGGATCCTCCCAGGTTTGGACTACGACCTCGGCCGGGACTGAGACGTTTTCTCTCCTTAGTCAATCTTCAAACCACTCACGCCGCCCTCCGAGTCCCACTGCCCCATCGGCTGTCCGCAGCTCACAACTATATGCACGTCGTTCAAGTGCTTCTGGTGCGGCATCAAGTGGTCCAGCTAGTGCTGGTGTGTTGCAGTCTGCATCCCGCATTTTCAATGAGGCAGAGATTTCTCGCATGGCTTATTCAAGAAATATCCACTCTGCTCGATCAATGAGTCCCACTTCTCCCATTTCTCCAGTGTTGATAGATGTTTCACCCGAGGATAATATGCCCCAGTGGACATCTGTTCCCCCTACTCCCTTTCCTTTCGGTCATGTGTGACCGTCGATGGCATACAGTTGGGTGTTGGGTTGGTCTTGCCTTTATGGCATGGCAGTTAGTTCAAAGTCGATGAGGAAAGATTGGGGTGGATTCAGGTTCCATGAATGACTAGGGGGCTATTCCTTGTCTTTGCTTTCCCTCTCACCGTTAATGTTTTTGGAAGTTAATGTTCTCAAACGGGATTTCTTCTTGCTGACACCACCTATCCATTATGCATAGTGTCTAGGTCTTTCTAATGCTTATTCTTTTTATTCATCTTAATGCTCAGTTTCCCAGTAGTCCAGCTTAGAAATTGGGAAATGCCAAATTCAAACAGCAGCTAACACTGGGAGTACGGAAGTATAGCATGGTAAGTTGAATAACTTCAAGACACAGGCTAAAGATATCCAATTGCTAATCATTTGACATGAAACAATCGAGTAAAAGATATAGAACTAAAACCCAAGAGATTGGACTCATGGATTTGTTGTGTTGTTTTCATTTGCATTGTCTGGTGCTGACGGAGCCTTCAGTTCCTTGGGCTGATCCCAGTGGGTGCTTTCTCTTTCCTTCGGCATGGCATGAGTTCCAGTAGGGAAGTGTGGGGTTTGTCCCTAAATAGAGACATTGCTGATACCAGCAAGATCAGTAAACTGCTGATGTCTTTCCATAAAGGCGGCGTGTTTGGCATGACGGTCTGCCTTCACGTTCAACTCCTTAGGAATCCGCCAGAACTGAACACTGATCCCCTTCTCCTCCAATATTTCCACCTCCCCGAGAAGACGTTCCCAAAGGTCCCGATTCCTGATTGGTTCCCCAGAAATTGATACCCAACTCCAATGTAGCCATTCCCTTATCAAGCTCGTGATACCCTCTACCAGGTAATCCGACTCAGTTGCAATGATCAGACGCCTGAAGCCATCCGCAGCCCAGTCTTTGTATCGCAGAGCTGCGATGACGGCGCGGATATGTGCGCGGTGGACTGTCAAGATGTGCTGCTGACCAGAGGGCCCCTTGAACTCTAGAGGAAAGCGTGCCCAACCAGACGTGGAATCGTTGTAAACGAAGGAACAACCCGCTCTAGCATTTGTTCTGCCGTTATCCAGACACGTGGCGTCCGTATAGATGAGGAATTCATCTTCGACGGAGCGGTTGTCTTCATTGAGGCGGATGAATCGATGGACCCGGTCTGTTGCTGTGACTTTGGGGCAATGTGGGAACAAGGACTGCGGCGTATCATCTGGACTCGGAGGAGTGAACTCTGTTGGGATAACGCGGCCACTACCGACTCTGAGTTCCGTGTACAGAATAGGAGGCATGTGGCTGATAACGTAATGCGCGGGGTTCACTTGGTGCAAGGCCATGGTGATTTGGTAGACGCATCAATTTGTGACTCCAGAGGACCTTGGTATAGCATTAACTGGTGTTCTTTGTGTCGGAAGGCAACATACCTTTAAAGGCTAACTTCAAGTCTAGAGATAAGGATGCAAGCGTTAGACGATGGGGAAGACGACAAAATGGAGGAAGTGAGCAAAGCAGGGCTCTTCGCTCCTTCTATATTTGTCTTGGATACCTGAGGCCGAGATCACAAGAAATCAATGATCATGATATTTCATTGAATGGTCTCTGAGTTACAAAAAAAAACAAAGGGGAAGTCCCACCTCCACGCGCCTCGCTATTCCAGTCCTGTAGACGCTTCAGACATAAAACCGAGAAAGATTAAAAACACATACAGAAGCAAAGTTCTCGAAAACATGTCCGCCATGAGATGTACAGGTAGAAAGGTAGGAAACGAAAGGCGATACAAAAGAAAAGGTGGAAAGAAATCCTTCAGGTCTATCCAGAGATATGATCTTCATCTTCATGCATTCATATCGCGCACACTGCGTAGGCATCGTTCGAGGCGTTTGCCGCGCTCCTTTTCGCGTACAAGAGTATCCTTGACAAAGGCTCGGATGGCGTCACGACTGACCCTTTCCCGCCATGAGGTCCAGCCAGCGAGTTCACCGACCACGACATCTTTGTTCCACGAGACTTCTTTCGCCAGCCGAGTGGACTCGGATTCGCCATCACGGATCTTTTGTTCGAGGTCGCGAACAGACTTTTGGCGAGACTCTTCGAAGCCGGGCAGGTTGATATTGAATTTTCGGGGGAGAGAGGAGGAGAGAAGAGAGGAGCGAGAGCGAGAGATATGGCGGTTTGTTGAAGAGAGAGAAGACATGAGGGCTAGTGGACGGGATAAAGAGATGAGGATTGCGGCGGTTGTGTTGTCAATTGAGGAAAGAGCTGCCAAATACTGGAGAAGAGCGGAGGAGTCAGACCTAGAGGTCGATAGGTAGGTAGCGTAACGGGAAAACGCCTCGATGTGTGAGATCGGAAGTGCATTGGTGGGTGCTCGGAGTGTAGCAAGGACAGACGAGCATATCATCACCGCATCAGCGAGATCGGATGTTGAATTTTGCAATGCGTGCCCTCGGCGAATCAGGGACCGCGTGTTCACATGTACACCGCGCACCATCTCCTGGGCGTGTGTAATAAACTGCTCTGTATCGCGCATGCCCTCTAGTGACACCGGCGCATATTCGTCTGCAATGGTCTCTGTGAGCACGGCAGCCTTGCGATGCGATCGGTCGGCCACCATCTCAGGCTGAAGTTCTGGAACGAGGAAGAACTCCCATAACATTTCGTGAGTTGAAAAGGTTGGATGGGCGAGAAGGGTCTTCAGGAACCGATCCAGTCTTTCCTGGAGATCATGGAGCACAGACCGTGATGGCTTCGAGTGGATCTGGAATGGATTGCGGAAATCCGAGAGAGACGGCATGTAAGATCCCGGATGTTCCACTGCAAGCCATTTAGCCAGATTCTCAAAATCGGAGAAATTGCGGCGACATGTCGTAACGGTGTATGTAGTCGATCCGGGTCGCGATGATGCCACAGATTCAGTCGGAGGGAATGGTGCGCCGGATTTGAGAATGAAGCGCACGGTTGCGTCCTCGACGAAGTAAGACCGCACGACCGTTGTGACACGACCCGAGGGATCTCCGCAAGCCAATGGAGGATGGGACAGCAAAATCAAATCGTCGATGCGATTTCGCACCTCATCATCCTTGGCCAATTCCACGGCCGTCAAACCACGGGCTTCTTTAACATGAACGTCGACTCTTGGGTCTAAAAAGAGAATGCGAACTTGATCAACTCGCCCGTACTTGCTAGCCATCATCAATGGTGTGAATCTCTTGTCGTTGGTTGCGTTGGGGTCGCAATCGCTGTCCAGCAATATACGCCGGGTAATCTCAGGGTCACCAACAATATGCAACAATGTATTTCCCTTCATATCAACATGATCATCAAGCTGGAGCGGTTTGTTGTCGCCCTGCGCCCATTGCGCTGCAGTTAAACCGGCTTGAACCATTGATTTGTATTCTGGATGATCATACGAACGACAAAGCGCAAAGAGCGGTGTTTGTCCATGCTTGTCTCGTTGTCGCCATGGGATAATGCTACCAAGTCTCCCTAGCAGCGAGGGTGTGCTGAAAAGATAATGAGCAACAGTACGACCATGGACGTCGGATTTGGTCAAGTAAGATGCAACCACGCTTGTATCTGTCTTTGCAAATAGGAAGTCCAATAGGATTTTAACTATGTCGGTGTGTGCGAGTTGCACCGCAGCATTTAATAGCGTGGTCCCATCGGCATTGGTATCTTGGATGATTTCTTCCAAGGGGTAGTATTCTTCTAGAGTCAACAGGTACTTCAGAGCTTCAGCCTGACGAGCCTCGACTGCCATCATCGGTATGGAATGACCAGCAGGATCTTGGGTTTTTGTCAAGGTCTCAATCGAATTGTCACCTTCAATCCCACTAGCCATGGACCCAAGGGTTGCGGTCCTGGAGATGAATGAGACGGCCGATGATTCCGATAGGCTGCGAACGTCCATTGAAACCTTCTTGATTGGACGGTGTGGGTGAGATTCTTGGATAACCGAAAGATCATCCCAGGTTTGAAATGGGAACACATGGGATAGGGGTGGTGCATCGACAACAGCTTGATCCTGGTATGATTCGCCATTTGTATAATCGGTGTAAGAGTTCTCAAGAGAGAGGTCATCCGGCTCATCAGCGTCATCTGTCTGGAACAGTACAGACTTTCGCTCCGGTTCCGGTGGAGTCGTGTCGTCTATTGATTCGTGATCCTCGTTCGGTTCCAGAATAGATTTCATATCCGATATTCTGCCAGCCTTTGTTGCTTGCCACAAACGTCTGTTCCGAACGCTGGCACGCCGTAACCCGGCGGAATCGGTAACGAGATACATCAACACAGCTTCGAATGTACTTAAAGCATATCCCATCTCGCCATGATCCACGTCGTCGATGTAAATAAAATGCTGCATGTACAACAACCGAGCTTGGAGATGCCGTATTTGAGAACGAATGACAACAACAAGCAATAACGACACCAAGACATCAGCGTTGATCGTAACAGAGGAAGTTCCCTTCTCAGATACCGAGCCATCCATTTGATCATAACTTCCAGGGAAGGAGATAACCTTCACTGTGCCAAGCAGGGTATTCAGCATATCATGGGGACATCGAGCGTCGTTGATCTTCCGAAATTCTTCCACGGCTCGCCCAAGTCGGCGAGTCAGTTCTCGCTTCCCTTCACGTCCACCTTCAACGGAAATTCCAACTTGGGACACATCAATACTCTCCATCTGGCGAATGCGGGAATCCAGCTCTGTGTCCTCTGGTTGGCGGAATGAACAAAGACGAGGGAAAAGCAGCGGCTCATGAACTTGCTCGGCAACATAATGTTCGATTAGCCGCTCCACTAGAGGACCGGTGAGGTCAGTAGTCGCACCAAGCAACGATAATTGCTGCTTGTCAACGAGGCGGAAAAGATCAATGGCAGCAGTCACCGCGGTTTCCAAGCTTCGACGCATGAGATCTTCGTCGTCCTCAAAGTATTCCTCGGAATTGAATGGCAATCGCCCTCTGCTGCGTGACGACCAGCTGCGGATGGAA